TCTCACCACCCCCACAACTCCTCACCACCACCACCCCCCATACAATACAGTAAGACATAGGATTGTCTGTTGTTCAGAATGTTACAGCAGGCACCCAACACCATGACTAGAGCGCATGATGGTCAGACTGTAATCGGGGGGCTCTCGTGGCCTAGAGGTTAAGGTGTTCACCTCTCATTCAAAGGTCCCTGGTTCGAATCCAGGTAGCGACCGAAAAATGTTCTTCGCTAAAATTGTCTCCTTTCACCTCCTTTCCTTCTTTCTAGCAATGTTCTGCCGTCTGCTTTTCTCTCCTCTTTCTGTCCCCCACCCCTTCACCTCCTTTGCACCCCCCCCTCCTCTGGGCTCCTGACTCTTTCTGTAGCCTTTCTACTGCTACTCCTAGGCTCCTTCTTACTGCTGTCTTTCAGTCACAACCCTGATCTTCTGGTAGGGAAGATCTACACCTAGCCTTCTAGGACAAGGGCGAAGTATCTCGGAGGGACCGTGAGCAAGTTGCGCACGTTAAAGATCCCTTGGTGGTCTAAAATCGATACGAGTAGGCTTCGGCCGCCACGCAGGCAACATTAAAAATTTCCTACCAACTGAAAATGTTAGGTGTGTCCTGCGCGCTCATATGACCTTATGCAGTTGCGAGCGCCGTAAGACAGTTACCAAAAAATACCCCCCCCAACCCCCACAAAAAAACACAAAAAAACAAAACAAACAAATGTAATCGGGCTTTACAGTCAAATATTTGGTCAGTAGTGACGTTTTGCTTTCTAGGATTATTTAGTTGAACCATTTCACTTCCTGCTAAATTATTGATAAGTTGCGATTTTTTATTCCCTGCAAAATTATTAATCAGTTGCAACATTTCCCTTCCAGCAAAGTTGTTAATTAGTTGTAACATTTTTCTCAGCGCTAAATAATTAATGAGGTGTGAGATATTTCTTCCTGTTAAGTTATTAATCAGTAGTAACATTTTTACTTAGTGCTAAATAATTAACGAGTTGGGTGTTTTTCTTCCTGCTAAATAGAAACAATTAGTCGTGAGATTTTTACTTAGTGTTAAATAATTAACAAGTTGTTTTATTTTTTTCCTGCTAAAAAAAACCAACCCAATTAGTCGGGATATTTTTACTTAGAGCTAAATAATTAACGAGTTGTGATACTGTTTTTTTCCTGCTAAATAAGTAATTAGCTGTGGCATTTGTTTCACTTACTAAAAAACCCAGATTATTGATAGAGTCTAGTGACATTTTACCAACTTGCAACATTTGATCTGCTCATCGATTGTGACACTTTATTTCTGGTCAAATGATTCAATTGTTGTGAAATGTCCTAAATGACGAGCTAGGGAGAAAAGATTTAAGCTACACAAACGCAAACTGAGAGGGTTGAGAAATCGTGGGATAAAAGTGTAAAGATCCGGATGGTGGAAATGTGGAACTATCAAAGAGGAAAAAATGCCAGATGTTATTGGAAATTTTAAGGACATAGGAATTAGTTAAGCCAGGTGGGGGTGGAAAAAGAGAACGGGAAAAGAGAGAGAGAGAGACAGAAGAGAGAGAGAGA